TGCTTTGATGACCTCGCAATCCTTTTTATACTCCGGGGAAAAGGGTCGTAAATCCTAGAATGTGCCGAAAAGGTTTTTTGTAGAAAAATAGGAAAACCTTCAAGTTTAAGTACCTTTATGTGATATCCTGCGACTTGGAGTGCCTGGAATACCAAAACCCGAGCCTGCTTTTCATCTTTTCAACCTCTGGTGCCGCATAGATGTTCGAGAGCATCCCGTACGACGCTCCGGGTTCCTCTTCATGGGCTGCTTCCTGGCACGAGTTGAGCAGTGACAGCCATGGAACTCCACCTGCCTGTGGAAACCTCTTGAGAAACTCCTCGGCCTTCTCCAGCCTTCCCAGCCGGCCCAGCATATCCGTCATGCAGCTGAAGTATCCCACTCGATCCTCCTGTCCCTCTTGAACAACACGAGCTGCTTGCAGGCCCCGTCCAGCAGCCCTGTGTGTGCACAAGCGAATAGCAATCCGGCGTAAGTCACACCGTTCGGCTCCACACCGTCCAAGTTCATGCGCTCGTACAGCTCCAACCCCTGCTTCCCCTCCCCGTTTACGATCATTGCGTTCCACGAGACCAGGTCAAGTCGGAACCGTCGAAGATCTTCCATGCTTCGTCCAGGCTCCGCACTTGCAATACATGCTGACGAGTGCTGAGGAAACGAGAGCTCCGTTTTCCAGGCCGGCTCTCACTATCCCGTCGTGGACGGACCTTCCTTCCGCTACAGACTGCATGTCACCACAAGCACCGACGATAGTAACGTAGGTGATCTCGTCGGGCTCAACTCCGTCTGGCTCCATTCTCTGGTACAGTCTGATGGCTTCCTCGCTGTGCCCGTGCTGACCACACGCCGTTATGTCACCACGGTTCTCGATGTTGTCAAACACCGCCCGTGCGTTCTCCAAGTCTCCACACTTGCCATACAGTTGACGAGCGCAGTGGAGACGTAGACATCGGAGTCGGAGTTACTGGAAACCATCCTTTCGTGAATCTGTTTCCCCGTTCTTACTGCATCGATCCGGCTGCAAGCTTCCAGCTTCAATCCTTTGAGGTCCATCTTGTGGTAGAGTTGCAACGCTTGCCTCTCGTGTCCGTTCTGCGCGTACGCTGCGATCATCGTCGTACACGAGCACACATCTCTCGTCTCCATCTCCTTGAACACTCTGCGTGCGTGGGCGACGTCACCAAGCTTTCCGTAGACGTTGACGAGATTGTTCCTCAGAACACCGGACGAGTGGAGGATACCACTGGCAGAAAGCAATCACGCATTCGTGGACCTGCTTTGCATAGCGGTCCTTGCTGCAAACTCCAGTTATGCCAACGAATGTCACGTCGTTTGGCTTGGTACCATCTAAGAGAAAGAGCTGGATCGCATCCCTGGAGCGTTCTTCCTGTAAGTAAGCGGGGATCAGCGTGTTCCACGAGGCCTTGCTCTTTAAACTCCTGTCGAAAACGTCCCTGGCTTCTCTGGCTTCCAGATAACCACACCTGCTGTACATGTTTACCAGCGCGTTGCCGATGATGACATCCGAGTCGAGGCCCCCGGCCGAGAGCCGGCGATGACTCTTCCTTCGGACAATTCTTCCAAGTTGGTGCACGCTCGGAGTGTGTTGATGAAGCTCACAATGTCCTGCTTTACACCCTCGCAGTCCAGCCGATGGAAAAACTCGAGCGCTTCCCTGCTATGAATGACCTCTCTGAGCACAGGCTCCAATGATCGCAGTCCACGCGAACAATCCTTTGTTCTCAAGCCTCTCGAAAAGCTCCTCCAGCCTCTCGCATTTGCTCACCATCGTATTCCCCAGCTCCTGCTCTAGACCGCTATCTACAAGGCAAGCATGGGCCGACGTCGAGTGACGCGCACGACGAGAGAAGTATTTGCCTGTCCGGTCTCAGGCCTTTCAACAGCAATCTCCCAAACAAACCAGCCACTGCCCACTTGTGATCCCTCTCTTGAGCTGCCGCGGTGATCACCGTCCCGAAAGAGAAAGCAATCTTGTGTTCTCTGCCTCGCATCCTCCCATCTCCCACACTTGGCGTACATCTCCACCAGCAGATTCCCCAGAAACGTGCACGCGCCGTCCTTCCTCGAGCGCCTGTCGATCCCTGACTAAGCACGTATACCTGTATGAGCACGACGCCCCCTCCCGGAGCCTGAGCACCTCCTCCAGTCCTACGAATGGCGCCCAATCCCTCATAAACCCTAAATTTGAAAATGGCGCTAAAATCTAAAGCCCTAAGACTTCTACAATCTAAAGCCCTCAATCTGGCGATGCTTTGGATTAATTTTAAATGAAGAATATACTAAAAGATGTTATCCACGTCAGCATTAGGGCTCCAGGCGACCTTTGGCTCTTCTCGTCCCTTCGAAACGTAGGAAGCGCGATCGAATCGATCGAGCTGGTGGAATGTGGGCACTGGACATCGGCCTGGCGTTGCAATTGGTGGCGCGCGGCGGATGGGAGTGGCAATGGCACTGGCGCAAGCTCAGGAAGCGGTCGTGTCTAGGGTTCTTGGATTCCTCTCCCTCGTTATGAGCTGAGAGCGAGGCATTGGGATCGATCCATGGAATATGGTCTCTGCCGCAAAAGGTATAAGAAGAAGAAGAAGATCTTCCAGGAGAGGGCGGCCGGAGGAAAAGATCCAGTGCTGTCGCTCTTTCGATTCAAGGACGCTGAGGCGTGCACGGGCGGATTCTCGAGCGAATGCCTCGTCGGCAGATCAATCCTCACCTCGCTCTACAAGGCCATCCTCAAGGACGGCACCCCCGTGATCATCAAGCGCGGCATCGCCGACCACTCGGCCCGCCACTACCCCGCCCAGATCGCCATCGCCAACGAGCTCCGCATCCACGCCACGCTCAACGCCGACGCCAAGACCAGCAAGAGCTTCGCCAGGCTCATCGGGCTGAGCCACAGCCTCGATCGCCCGGCGGCGCTGGCGGGTGGCGGCGATGGTGGCGGCGCTCCAGCGGCGATCGTCCCCGGGGAGACCCTCCTCGTGCTGCAAATGCCCGGCCGCGGCACCCTCTTCGACGTCCTCCACCGCGGGGACACGGTGGCGCCGCCGCTGTGCCTGGCGCTGCGCATCCACCTCGCCTTCGCCGCCGCCAAGTGCGTCAAGACGCTCCACTACGGCCACGAGATCGTCCACCGCGACCTCCGCTCCACCAACTTTTGGATCGAGCGCGACTGGAGCGTTCGCCTCGCCAACTTCTCGGTGGCCCACGACATCCCCTGGGAGGATCAGATGCCCGGCTGCTCGCTGGGATCGCTGGGGATGCTCGATCCGGACTGGCCCCAGGATGGCTACCTCGCCGCCAAGGTGGACGTCTTCTGCTTTGGCCTGCTCCTGGCGGAGATCATCAGTAACAGGAAAGTCCACGACGTTGGGAAAGTACCCGGCGATCTGGTCGGGTGGCTTGTCCCCCTTGTGAGGACGAACCATGTCTTTCCCATCGTGGATCCGCGGCTGAGGCTACTGCCGGATCACGTCAAGGTGCCGCGGGAGCTTGGCAGGATCGCGGCGATGTGCTTGAATCCCGTGGCCCGGGTCCGGCCAACCATGTCGGATGTTTTAGAGCGGCTGAGACCGCTGAGGCAGCAGTTCCCCTTCCGGTAGATCTTCCCTTCTAGCAAAACCGAGAGCTTTTTCTTCGCGTTCGTGAGGTCCGTGCTTCTGTATCTCAAGGTTAAGAAGTCGGCTACACAAGACCTGGTGTAAGTGAAAAAGACGGTTCTTACCCCCGGAGTTGAATCGAGCATTTGTTTCCTCCAAGGTTTTGATTTTAACTTGCAAACTCGAGTTTTTCTTCCTGGTGGGACATGGATTTCTTGAGACTTTCTTTATTTTGGTTATCCTGAAGGTAAAAAGTAAGTCTCGAAGAAAGAATGCCAACTTACTTGGTTCCTCACTCTTCCTCGGAGCTTTGCTCCTCATTGCTGTAGTCCGAGGCATAGTCGTCCTCGAGCTGTGGATTTAGATCCAGCTGCACGAACGGCACCGGAGTATGTGGATTTAGATCCAGCTGCACGAACGGCACCTGGATTACTCCGGTGCCGCTAGAGCTGGAGATGGCGGTGCCACTTCCGGCAGTGGAACCGGATCTCCTGGCGGGGTGATCACACGGTGACTTGAGATCACCAGTCACATCTCAAGTGAGCACAAACCGTGATGGTGATGGTGATGGGACCACTTATCCACATCACACGGTGACTTGAGATCACCAGTCACATCTCAAGTGAGCGCAAACCGTGATGGTGATGGTGATGGGACCACTTATCCACATCACATGGTGACTTGAGATCACCAGTCACATCTCAAGTGAGCACAAACCGTTCAAGTCACCAGTCACATCTCAAGTGAGCGCAAACCGTGATGGTGATGGTGATGGGACCACTTATCCACATCACACGGTGACTTGAGATCACCAGTCACATCTCAAGTGAGCACAAACCGTGATGGTGATGGTGATCTAGTGCGGTGTGCTTTGATCCCAATTTGTCTCATGGTATCGAAGCTAGGATAGCACTATGGAAAGAAAGCCATCCATCCGTTGAATCCTATCTCTTGTTTCATGGTTTGTTGGGGATTGTGGATGGGACAGAGTCATCACCGGCTCCAGGCTTTAGCGCTGTTGAGGTGCGTGATTGGAACCTTCGGGATTCCAAGGCTAGAGGGAGTATTGCAATGTGCTTGTCCTCGAATGTTCTTTTTGCTGCCCCATCGATTCACGTAGGAGCTGAAACTGGTGTGGTCCCAACGGCTTTGTGAGAAGATTGGTGAGAAGATTGGTTTGGTGAGTGGCTTCGGTTTGAGGGGGAGTGTTACACACACGTGCGCGGTGCGCTTTGATCCGGATTTGTCTCACACAGAATTGTCAAACACGTGTCGACAGTGACAGTGACATATGACAGTGACATGTCGACAGTGACATGTGCCTATAAAATGAACAAGTTCTCGCCGATTTTTGCATTAGATTTGGTTCGAAGGGCTAACTAATCCATGGGTGGTTCAACATCAACAGCTCGTGGGGAGACACTGTTGTTCTCTCCAGAGGCCATCCGAGGTATTGTCCCTGTGAACTGTGTGTGTGCGTGGCAGAGGCGCTCATTGGGTCCTCAGATCTCTGTCGCCCTGGATTTTCTTGTTTTATGTGTATGGCCTCTCCTCTGTCTGCGGCGCATTGGTGGTTCATTATCACCAGCTCGTGGGGAGTCGTTTCCCTGGAGGAACTGCCGCTGCATCCAAATCAGCTCAAAGCTCCCATCCGGTACAGCATTGCTCGACCAGCTGTCCCTTGATCTTCCCAACGGACTGCCCAAGAGCCAGCAGCTCGTGGATGTTTCGATGGTGATCCTCCCATCCTTACGGGAGAGCTGTTGCAACACTGAAGTGGCTCTGGATATCAACAACTTCTCTCTCGGCGTGGATGACAACGATGTAATCATCAACACCAAGGCTCTAGGATTCTACCCATACCGCTTCAAGCTTCATATTAGTCCACAGCTTGGCCAGATGGAAAACTCTGCCATTGCTATCTATGACTACAATTTCCATGACGGTGCTCGTGCTAAAGCCAACTCCAGCACTCTCACCACTCTCACCAAGAACAGCGAAGGTGAGATTGGAGCTCGACTTGATTTATGGCCGGTATCGTTCATATTAAAGAAGAAGTGGGGGCAGTCACTCCAAGAGCCAATGGAATACGAGTCCATCAGTGTTGGAGCTCCAGGGAACACGGCAGAAATCGAGTGGAAATTACTTCGCTGGAATCACAATGGGAAGAAGTATAATCCATCCAAACCATACTTCGAGGTACATGCTTTTATTCCTTTTGAATTCCTTTCAGATTTGTTTTCTTTGTAGCCGCCTTTCCGAGGAGGACGAACAAAAATCAACGTGGAAGACTTTCCTGTTATTGTGTGGCATCTGCCTGCGAGCACGGCGTCCAAGTTTCAGCTCGGGTTCAACATTCGTCTGGAGGCCGACATGCATCTCCTCTGGTACGAGAGAAGCAGCTGGACGTGCCCAAAAGCCAAGAAGTACATCAGCAAGAGAGTCGAATTTTCCCATGAGTTTGTGGGCGCGATGAATTTTGATAATTTTTTTTTAAAAAAAATAAAAAATTAAAAAATTCTTATTTCCTTTGTCTGCCTGGTTAGGGTTAGAGCATCCCAGGGCCATGGCAGAGGGAGGCGCGGTTCAGGCGCTTCCTCCGCACAGGCGCGCGCAGGTCTTGCTCCAGGACATGGCGGGCCTCACAGTGCGCCTTCTCGAGCTAGCGGGTAAGCAAGCGTCTTGCTTCTCTTTCCTCTCCAGATCGAGACTTGGTCAATGCAGGCAGCAAATCGTGGCAAGGCAGCCATCTCAAGAGCCTCTTCCCCCCTTTCCTGGCCGGAGCTCCCGTGCCCGCCGAGGGCCTGGTCGCCAACAGCACCAAAGACGTCCTGGCGCTCCTCGACTCGCATCAATCGCTTCTGTCGGACGCGGTGTCGGAGATTGCCGAGCTCCAGAGCCTGGAGCAGGAGAAGCAGCGCATCGCGGAGGCGGTGGCGGCCAAGGACGCGGTGATCCGGGAGTTTGCCAAGCGCGTCAGGGACGCGGAGCAGGTCCTGGAGCTCACGCTGGAGGAATTCGAGGAGTACAGGCGGCCATCCAAGGAGAGGAAGACACTGGACGCCGAGGTGGACGTGGCCGAGCTCGTCTCCTACGCTCATAGGATCAGCTACACGACGTTTGCTCCTCCCGATTATCTTCTCGGTCAGCCCGGAGTGCTGGCTCCGGCTCCTCAGGAGCAGCAAATGCGAGCTTCGCAGCTCTACCACTTCAGCGACATGGATCTGGGCGTGTTGAAAGCTCCGGCAGCCGCACTGCCACCAGCGCCATCGCTGCCGTCGCCAACGGTGGAAAAATCACCACCGAAAGAAGCAGCTGCAGGAAAGCTCACGCCCTCTACTTCCACTCCGGTTACTCTTCCCGGACTGCCTCCCGGAATGAAGCTCCCACCGATGCCTCCCGGATGGAAGCCCGGAGATCCGGTTCCACTGCCGGAAGTGGCACCGCCAGCTCCAGCTCTAGCGGCACCGGCTCCAGGAGTAATCCAGGTGCCGTTCGTGCAGCTGGATCTAAACCCGGAGCTCGAGGACGACTATGCCTCGGACTACAGCAACGAGGAGCAAAGCTCCGAGGAAGAGTGAGGAACCAAGTAAGTTGGTATTCTTTCTAACTTCTTTGAGACTTACTTTGTACCCTCAGGATAAAGAAAGTCGCAAGAAATCCATGTCCTACTAGGAAGAAAACCTCGAGTTTGCAAGTTAAAATCGAAACCTTGGAGGAAACAAATGCTCGATTCAACTCCGGGGGTAAGAACAGTCTTTTCCAGTTACACCAGTTCTCCGACTTCTTAAACTTGAGCTACAGAAGCACGGACCTCATGAACGCGAAGAAAAAGCTCTTGGTTTGCCAGAAGAGAAGATCTACCGGAAGGGGAACTGCTGCCGCCGCGGTCTCAGCCGCTCGGCCACGGGATTCAAGCACATCGCCGCGATCCTGCCGAGCTCCACGTGATCCGGCAGTAGCCTCAGCCGGGGATCTACGGTGGGGAGGACATGGTTCGTCCTCACCAGCGGGACAAGCCACCCGACGAGATCGCCGGGTACTTTCCCAACGTCGTGGACTTTCCTGTTACTGATGATCCCCGCCAGGAGCAGGCCAAAGCAGAAGACGTCCACCTTGACGGCGAGGTAGCCATCCTGGGGCCAGTCCTGGTCGAGCATCCCCACAGCGATCCCATCTGATCCTCCCAGGGCGAAGGTTCCCGAGGAAAAGAATGGCTTCGCCGATTCAAGGACGTGATCATCAAGCGCGGCAACGCCGACCGCTACCCCGCCCAGATCGCCTCCACGCGGACGCCAAGACCAGCAAGAGCTTCGCCAGGCTCATCGGGGACCGGCGGCGCTGGCGGGTGGTCCCGGCGTGCTTGCCCGGCCGTTTGAGGTCCTCCACCGCGGCGACCCGGTGGCGCCGCCGCTGTGCCTGCCGCTGCGGATCCACCTCGCCTTCGCCGCCGCCAAGTGCGTCAAGACGGGTCTCTGGCAGTACGTTGTCTCTGTTTTATCACGGTCCTCATGGAACTCACGTTCCTTAATTTTTGGTTTGCTTAAGCAAACATAGATGGTAATGAATATACTTAAAATATATTTGATTATCTATACATATAAAGCGATAGTGGGGAGGCTCGCCGGCCGTTGGATCCCAGGCCCGGGCCAGGGTCGGTAGCCATGGTTGCGCGAGAAATTTTTCTGATGTTTGCTCCCGGCCAATGGGAGGCGGCCAAGCCGCATGGGGCGGGAGAAGAAGGCACAGCGACACGTGTGCCAGTGGTGTCCTGCCCCCGTGCCCGTTCTTCTTAGCTCGCCCTGGATGCCCTGCCGCAATTGAGCTAACGCTTGCTTGCTGGAACGCTTGCTTGCCGGATCAGTGGCAATCGCAGCAATTGTGCTTCTTCCTGCAAAGGTCTGTGTTCACAGTCAGCCCAGCAGCCGCTAATTTGGCCCCCAACCCCAACAATCTGGATTTTTGTGTGCTGTGAAAATTTGAAATGTCTTCATTTGGGTTTGTGGATGCTATCCAGTGGTAGAGCTGAAGCCAGAGCCAGCCTTCACATCCAGAACCATCAGAGAGTTTGCAGTCGCTGTCCTTTTGCGAGAGAGAACAAGCCCAAGGTGAGTTCTCTAACTTGCAAACCCCACCCACCTCTCACAGTTGCTCACCACGCCCTGGAAAAGGTGTGCCAGTCCTGTGTCTAGGTTTTATTGGTTGCTAGATTAGTCTCTTTTGTTTACAGATTAAGGTGTGTACAGATTGTGCTCTCATTGTATAGTCTTCGTTTTTATTTTTTTTAAATTTTTTTTCCAGTGTAAGAAGAAGGCGAGTTCTGGCTTTTACGTAGAATCTCTGAAAATTTTAAGATAAGTGTTTTGACATTAGATAGGTTATTTCATCTCATTTATCATCCCTAGCAAATATGCCTCGGCTTCGCGAAGTATTAAGAGGCATACGTCACCATTTGCCTCCAACTATTGACACTAGCACATATAATCATATTCACAACAACCTTGCATCTGGTAATGAAGAAACTAATCTAGACCTTGAACATGCTAATGCAAAAATTACTTCAAATCTCGACAATGCTAATACAAACATAGCATATGCTAATGAAGGTCATACAAATATAAACCTTGAAAATGCTAATGAAACTAATACAAATACATGTAATCATCACAGTTATACTATCTATAAATTAGCACATCAAAAGAATTATAATGACCATACAATACAACTGTTTAATATTGGAAATATGTCATCCGTATGTGTCTTTTGTGGTGCATTACATTTTGAAAATGAGTCAAGATCAATGTGCTGCCAGAATGGAAAGGTTTCCCTTCCCCAGCTTTCATCTTTACCTACTACATTGCGTATGCTTTTTAATGAAAATAGAAACTCCAATTTTAAAATTAACATAAGAAATTTCAACAGTGCTTTGGCTTTTGCATCAATGGGTGCTAATATTGATAATTTAAGTGGTAAAGGCCCATATTGCTTTAGAATACATGGTCAAATTTATCACAAAATTGCTTCAGCATATCCTGCAGCTAACGTGCCACCATCATATGGACAACTTTACATGCTTGACGCTTCTGAGGCTACAAATATTAGAAAGCAAAACCCATTCAACACAAATTGTGATTCTAATTTATTATTACAATTAGATAACTTGCTAAGAATAATAAACCCGTATGCACAAGCTTTTCAAATGATGTATAATCTTGAATCACAAGAACAACATCGCTCAATTTGCAATGGAACCCCAAAACGTGGTGTTTACATGATTGTTAGAAGTGAAAGTACTAATCTACATCGTTATAATTTGCCACAAACTAATGATGTTGCTATTGTTTTCGCTATTGATGAGGGTGAGCCATCTCTTGACAGAGAAATATGCATACATCCATATAACTCACAGCCAATAAAAATCTCTATTCGTAATGAAAATTGTGATCCTATGGTTTATCCTTTACTTTTACCATTTGGTGATAAAGGTTGGCATGAAAAAATCTATCACAATGAGTCGCATGTAACGCTACTCCAGTACTATGCATATCGATTATCTCAACGAGATAGCATTGGCAACTCTTTCCTTTATGATCAATTGCTACATGCTGGGAAACTCACTCAACAATTTATAGTTGATGCTTATGTAAAGGTTGAATCTAACAACCTTAATTTCTTTCGCACTCATCAAAAACACTTAAAAGTGGATTACTACACAGGTCTTATGGACTATGTTAGCAACAGAGCTGCTACTAATAATGCTGAACCTGGAAAAATTGTAATTTTGCCTTCTACATTTCCTGGTAGCCCACGAGCAATGCAACAACATTATCAAGATGCTATTGCTATTGTCACACATTTTGGAAAACCTGACTTATTTATTACATTTACATGCAACCCAAAGTGGCCTGAAATTGTGCAAAACTTACAGTTGAATGAATCACCTGAGGATCGACCTGATCTTATTTCAAGAGTTTTCAACTTAAAGCTTAAAGAATTCCTACATGACATAAGTATCAAAGGAATTTTTGGGAAGTGCATCGCATATGTTTATGTTATTGAATTCCAGAAAAGAGGTTTGCCTCATTGTCATTTCTTAGCAATGTTATCAAGCGAAGATAAGATAAGAAATCGAGACTCAGTTGATGAATTTGTCACTGCACAGTTGCCACACCCACTGTTAGAACCAGAATTGCATAACATAATTATAAATCATATGATACATGGTCCATGTGGTAATTTAAATCCTAGAAGCCCTTGCATGGAAAATAACAAATGCTCTAAGAATTATCCAAAAGAATTTAATGTTGAAACCATTTATTGTGTTGATGGTTATCCTGATTACTACCGTCCCAATAACGGGTGCACTTTCATAAAAAATGGTTGTACTATTGACAACAGATGGGTTGTTCCTTATAATAAATACCTTTGTAAGAAATATCAAGCACACATCAATGTAGAGATCTGTGCTTCTATTAAAAGTATTAAATATTTATTTCAATATGTATACAAAGGTTATGACTGTGCAACATTAGAATTCCTAACTGCATCTGAAGAACGAGGGACTTTAAATTGGGACGAAATCTCAAGTTTTGTCGATGCTCGATATATTTCTGCTCCTGAAGCCATGTGGCGTATATTTAAGTTTCATATGCATGATAAATCACTAACTATTATATGCCTTCCAGTTCATTTACCCAATTTTCAAAACGTTTATTTCAGACCAGGTCATGAACAAGAAGCACTAGAAAGAGCCACTCAAAATGGAACAATGCTTACACAATGGTTCAATTTAAACATGCAAGATACTAATGCAAGGCAATATACATATGCTCAAATTCCATTATATTACACATATAACAAATCCTCTCATAGATGGCAATTACGCCAGCGAAAAGCTAAACTCATACCAAGAATGTATTCCATATCTCCTTCTAATAGTGAGTTATACCACTTACGGCTTATATTACTCTATAAAAAAGGTGCTATATCATTTGAGGATATATGTACTGTCGAAGGTGTTACTTTCTCCTCTTTTAAACAAGCAGCTATGGCAATGGGACTTTTAGCAGATGATTCAGAATGGCAACGCTGCATGCAAGAAGCTTCTACTTTTAAAATGCCATCCCAATTAAGACTGTTATTTGTTTTTATTTGTTTGTATTGTTCACCAAAAGATCCAAATCTATTATGGGATCAATTCAAAATTGATATGTCTGAGGATTATGCTAGAAATGACATAAACTATTTTGACATTGCTTTAGTCGATATCAATTCAAAATTCCAACTACACAATAAATCTAATTATGATTTTGGTTTACCACTCCCAACTCTTACTCCCATTACCAAACACATGCTTAATACAGAGATCCCTGACCCATCACAAGACCAAATAAATGCAAACATAAATCAATTCAGTTATGAACAACGTTATATTTTTGAACTCATTATAAATGCCATTGATACTAACCAACATCAATGTTTCTTTATTGATGGACCTGGTGGTACTGGAAAAACTTTTCTACTTAATACCATCATTACAGCATTACAATTAAAAAAAATAAAAGTAATCAGTATGGCATGGACTGGGATTGCAAGCATTTTGCTAAAATATGGTCAAACGGCACATATGACTTTTAAACTTCCTATTCCTTTAAATGAAACTTCTGTCTCTGCTTTAACAATTAATAGTGATGCTGGAAAAACCATTAAACAAGCAAATGTTCTCATATGGGATGAAATTAGTATGGTTCATTCACATGCTTTCTCTGTGGTTGATAAATGTTTAAAACATCTCAAATGTAATTCTAAACCATTTGGAGGCGTTATAGTGATTACAAGTGGTGACTTTCGTCAAACCCTTCCTGTTGTTCCCCATGGCCATAGAACTTCTATTATTTCAAGCTCAGTTAAAATGAATAGACTATGGTCACTCTTTACAACACTAACATTAACAAAGAATATGCGTTCAAGTAATCTTTGTTTTTCTGAATGGCTTCTCAAACTTGGCAACGGTGATAGTAGTTTACAGTTGCCATGTCTCCCACCAGATATTATCAAAATACCACATGCATTATCTATCACTACATCTGTTGTAAACTTTGTTTTCCCAAATACCGATGATATTACAAATACTTATACAGCTGCATCAAAGGTTATTCTCACCCCACTCAATGACGACACATTCAGAATAAATAATGACATTGTTGAAAGACTACCAGGTGATCCATATGTTTATTTGAGCATTGACACAGTTGACTCAGATCACCTGGAAGAGTTCCCAATTGAATTCTTAAATTCAATCACCCCATCGGGACTACCACCACACAAATTAATTCTAAAACAAAATGTGATTTTGATTCTTCTTAGGAACATATCTCCACAAATTGGTTTATGCAATGGCACTCGCCTCATTCTCAAGCAAGCATCTCAAAACGTTTTAGATTGTGAAATTATCACGGGACAATTCAAGGGATCGCGAGTTTTTATTCCACGTATTACCCTTACACCTTCTGATGTTGAAATCCCTTTCAAGATGTCTCGAAGACAATTCCCAGTTCGTCTGGGTTATTGCTTAACTATTTCTAAA